TGGCAAACGAGCTTCAAGCCAGACCAAGAAGGATGTGGAGTGCTATGTGTGTGGTGGAAAGGGACATTATGCCCGCGATTGCTGGTATAAGGAGGGAGATTCAGGCAAGAAGCCCAATTCCCCCAATACTAAGGCGAAAGCCAAGGCAAAAGGAGATCCCAAGAAGAAGCCCGAAAAGGGAAAGCCCAAAGGAAAAGGCAAAGGAAAGGGGAAGACAGTTGCTGAAGTCTCCCAAGAGGGGGAGTCGAGTGACTACCAGCTAACTGGAGGTGAATGGAATGAACCTGAGTCAGAGGCCCGAGTGGAATCTGTGTTGCAACCTCTGGAAGGATTGCTCGATGAAGTGAGAAAAGAGTGGATTCCCCGGAGTACTGATGAGATAGATTGGTCATGGGAAGTTGAGACGAGAGTCCGGATTGCCGAGTTGGAGCATCGGATCTCTACCGATTTATCTCAGATGTTGCCATCTAAGTCAGTTCGGTCTTTGATGAAACCTCCGATGAATCAAGTCAAAAGCATGGAAAAGGATGATGCAAGCAAATGGTGGTTGATTGACTCAGGAGCATCGGTGACTGTGATTGCGAAAAGATACTTGGATGAGTTCCAGATCTTGGATCGGAAGGCGTTGGGACCTAATGAGAGGTACGCAGCAGCCAACGATACCCCGGTGAATGTCTTCGAGCGAGTTCGCATCCGAGCCTTGCTGCCTATGTATGAAGGAAAGCAGTATCTTGGTTTGACATCGGTGTGTGTGACTGGAGTTGTAGCAGATGTGGCTCACAACATCTTGAGCACCGAGCAGATGGTGAATACTGGTTGGGAAGTGAAGTTCACTCGAAGAGAGATTTCGCTGCGACACGAGAAGAAAGGAGTCATGGGATATGGAGTATCCTGGGCTGGATGTCCTTGGGTCTACCTGCAAGGTGATGCTGGAAAGCGAAAGAAAGTAACCTTTGGAAGAACTGAGGTTCGACCCATGGATGTGGATGATGGCCAACGACCGATGGAGGTTGATCAGATGCAGTCAGTGCAGTCAATGACCAAGAAAAAGCAAGAAGAAATGGAGCTGCGTCGGATGCGAGGCCACATTCCTTTTTCGTCCGAATGTCCTCATTGTCGGATGACAAGAGGAACAACCCAGCATCGTCGGACCAAGGATGCTCAAGACCGTCCCGTGGCGTTGCAAGCAGATTTCTGCTTCATCAACCTGGTAACTGGTACTTTTGCGAAAGACCAGCCGACGGCTCCCAACATGAAAGTACTGGTCATGACTGAAATGTCAACCAGAATGATTGGATGTCTGTTGGTAGGGACCAATGCTGACAATACCTCCAGCTGGATTCGTTATTGGATGAATGCTTTCGGACTGGACATTGCAGGGTCTGCTGTACTGTTGAGGACAGACAGCGAGACAGCGGTGAGCGCCCTCATCAAGAGAGCAAATCTGGGGATTAGGATTGTGACCCAAAGAGCACCTCCGCAGGGACATGAAGCGGTTGGTGGTGTGGAAAGGGCAGTGAGAACACTCAAGGAGTTGTTCAGCACGGTGAGGTTGGATCTACGAGCGCAGGGCTTTGACTTGAAGAGAAGTCCTCGAGCGTTTGAGTTTGGTCTGATTTACTGTTGCACAATCACCATGCAGCTGCCTTTGATGGGAAGAAATCACCCCAGGAGTTGGTACTACAGAGATCCCTCCATGAGTGTGGATCGTCGTTGATAGGTGCTACAGTTCTGGCTGAGCTACCGGATTCGATGAAACCCACGGCGCTCTCCCGGTTTGTGGAAGCAGCCTATGTGTACCCTGAAGTTGGTGGCTTGACTCATGTTGTGAGTGCCATGGTGGATGGTTGTCCAAAACACTTTCGAGCAAAGTCCATCAAGCACATCGTTCCGTTGAAAATTGGGTTGGAGCATTGTCAACATTTGCTCAAGGAGCATGATCCATCGGATACATTGGCTCCCCCGATTCTGAAGGAGAAAGAGGATGGTGTGCCCGATCGGATTGAAGGTGAAGCGGACAAGGCCTTTGAGGGCCGAGTGTCTGATGGACCGACCACAGACATGAGCAAAGTTGGACCTCCAGCTGCATGGGTGAAGGAACATGGTGGCACAGCGAACTGTCCTGCGTGTGGTCCAAAAAGAGGAAAAGCCAACCACAATGCTGAATGCCGAAAACGGTATGATGATTGGTTGAAAGCTCAACGACAACGGTTGGAATCGAAAGAACCAACAGAGGAAACTCCAAAATGGACCAGAGAAGCTCAAAGGATGCGGGGGTGATGGAGTCTGGAAGTGAGCCTTCACTCCTGAAACGCCCGAAGATCACCTATGAGAGTCGACCAGATCCCAAGTTGGAGGAGAAGCAAAGCGTCCCAACACCTGCGACAGAAGTTGTGGATGTTGACATGGAGGATTTTGAGGATCCAAGTTTGCCTTACCAAGGGATTCCAGATGAGGCAATGGAACCTGGATACTTCGAAGGAGAAACTCCCGCTGAGGATGAAGCGATCCCAATGGAGGAAGAAAAACCTCAAATGGATGTGGATTCAGTTCCAAATGAGTCCAGTCGAGTTCCCCGGCGTTTAGAGAGTTTAACTTCAGATGTGAACTCAGTTCCAGATGAGTCCAATCGAGTTCCCCGGCTGATCAATCGTATTTATTTAGACCCAAGACTCGATGTGCCTCAAGGTCCTATTAAAATGGTAAGCAGTGACGAGAGTCCGAAGTTGGTACATGTGACCAATTCGATTCTGCTCAACAAGAATAGCACTTTCCCGGAGTCCATGAAGGTGTGTGGATCCCAAGTTTGGCTGGCAAGACCCACGAGTGTTCTGTCTGAGATAGATGGATGTCCATTAGATGTGGATAAAACAGTGGAAGGCCGGCGAACTGAGCTGCAGAGTATGACTGCTCACAAAGCAGGGAGAGTGGTTGGAGCAGACGAGGCTCAGAAGTTTGCTCGTCAGCATGGGATAAAGATCATCCCAACCCGATGGGTCATAGGCCCAAAGGTGGTGAATGGCAATGAAGCTGTGAGAGCTCGGTGTGTGGTGCAAGACATCGCAAAGGGGAGCACAGCATCATCTTTAGGACTGAGTGCTACGACTCCTTCTTTAGAAGCGTTACGGACGCTTTTGGCCATTGCTTCGGTAGATGCTATGGATATCGCAACTTTGGATGTTAGCACTGCATTCTTGCATTCCCCCCTTCCGAAAGGATCGAAGGCGATTATCCAATTGCCCAAGGATGTTTCCGCCTGCAAGGACTATTATGTCCCGGTGTTTATGATTCTGGATCAAGCCATGAATGGTTTGAGAGTTGCCGCCAAAGCTTGGAACTTGAAGCTGGCGACAGTTGTGAAGAAAGTTGGGTTGAAGCAATGCCCAACGGAACCTTCCGTCTTCGAGGGCACTGTGAGAGGGAAAAGATTCCTCATGTTGTGCTATGTGGACGATTTGATTCTGTGTGGCACTAGAGATGCCATTCGGTTGGTGACCGACACCCTGAACGGAGAGTTGAAGATCAAGGAAACGGGTCGAATCACTTCCACTGGTGGAAAGATCACCTTTTTGGGGCGAGAGATTGAGAGACAAGGGAGTCATCTCAGGATGCGAGTGCCCCCGGCATACTTAGATGCCCTGTTCGAGACAGAGTTCTGTAAGGACCTGAAGGTGGTTACTGCTCCTCCGGACATCGTGAAAACGGTCGAGAAGGGCAGAGCAAGTGGTTCGGATCCTGAGTTGAGTGACACTGCAGCTGCGAGGTACAGAGCAGTACTTGGCCGGATTGCATGGTGGGGTCAGTCGAGACCTGACCTGAGTAGGTGGATGTCCATTCTTTCGCAAGGACAGTCCAAGCCAACAGCATGCTTTGAGCAAGCATTGCGACAAGTGATTAGGTTCCTAAAGGGACAATACCATGCATGGCAGTACTTTGGCCCTGATGGGAATGTACCAGACAGTGGGCCGGCGCAGCTGGAAGTGTATGCGGATGCCAGTTGGGCACCCCAAGCGTCGTTAGGACGAAGATCTGTGTCGGGCATAGCCATCTTTTATAGAGGATGCCTGATCAAGGGAATCTCTCGAGTTCAAGGGTGTGTATCGCTGAGTTCTTGTGAAGCCGAGTTGAGAGCCATCTTGACTGCGGTACAGGAGAGTGAGGGACTTGCGACTTTGATCGGTCAGTTGGCCGAGTCAGATGTCACGATCCGATTGCACACTGACAGTTCCTCAGCGAGAGCGGTTTTGCTAAACCGTGGGTTGAGTAGGCGAGTTCGCCACTTAGACATCGCTGTCTGCTATCTTCAGGAGCGGATACAGGAAGCTCAGACCTTGAAGGTCATTTGGTGCCCGACAGCGGGAATGATCGCTGACGTTCTTACAAAGTGCTTGAGTCAAGTGACATTCTGTCAGCACCAGCAAGCTATGGGTATATACCCTGGTGAAGATGTGCAGCAGGTGTGGAGGATCTGTGGAATCCGACCAAGGGTTGGAGTTCAGGCATACCAGTGTGCCGAGGCAACTGGATGCAGTGTGGAGCAAGTTGGATCGTTGAAAAGTGTGAAAAAGTGTGGTGAAGTTTTTGAAAATTTCCACCTTAGAAGTCCCGAAACCCTTCGTGAAGACTCTTCCCCTGAGGTTCAAGAAATGGATTTATGGTCCAACCGCAAAAGCTTTGGTTCAA